ACTTTCTCGCTCCACTCCGGTGTAGGGACGTTTTACGCAACTCCGCTCCGCCTTACTCCGTTGCTCCGCTCCGCTGCCTCGCACCGCTCCGGTGGACAGGCAGCCTAGACTTAGGTTTTGTGCCGAGATTGCAACGCGGCAAAATAACGGAGAGAAGTCACAAAAGGCCCTTAAAGATAGAAGTAGATTTTTTTTATTACTTAGATGGGTGGACGAGCTCACAGCCCACCTGGTGTTTAGTGGTTACTGGAGCCCAAATACATCTACAACGTAAATTCCCACCCACCCTGAGATATAAGTTCTAAGGTCTCGGTATAGTTATAACGGCTGGCCCACCCTTCAAACCGAAACGCATTAATTACTGCTTCACGGCAGAAATAGGCAGGGTGGTGGTACCTACCCGTGCGGACTCACAAGAGGTCCTACTACCGGTAATTACGCAAATTATAATTTTGCGAGTTTGATTTTTATTACATGATATTATTCCTTTACCGTCAATCGTGAACATTTGTTAGAAAAAATGTTACCCGCCTGCGGGATTCGAACACCGGTGCATCGCTAGATACGAATGCACCGGACGCCTTATCCTTTAGGCCACGACGACGACTACTAATCAAATATGTCCGCCAAATAGTTTTGTCTATTTTAACGTTCCTATTGGAACCTACAATATCCGAATCTAAATGCTTTAGACACCTTTAGGTTAACACAAAAACTGTTTTATGTGTGTATGTGCATCGATTTTTCCTCAGTAATTTTTAAACCGATTTTGTATTACCTTTTTTGTTTTTTCTTATCCACCTCTTAGTGATTCCATTGTTATGCTTAATCATTCTATTCCAATCTTGAAGTCATAGTGATCGATTTATTTTTAAATTACACATTTTCTCCTTTGTATTCCTACAAAGTAGTTTAATGTTCCTAAAATGTTTCTACTATTATTAACAAACTCCTTAAAGCTACAATAAATACTTAAATAACGGGTGGAACACAAAATTAGGGGTCGCATGTTTAAAATAAAAACTGGTAACTTAAAACTATTGAAAACCGAATAAACCTCAATCCAATAAAAGATAAATATCCAAATTAAATAATGTGCGTCATAGACAAAAAAAAAGTTCGTCTCTGTTAAGAAAATAATCGTTGACTGGTTGGATCAGTAAAAGAAAAAAGAAAGAAAATATTAGGAGCCGACAAGACAAGATTTCAAAGGAGAACTACGCGTTGACTAGCCTTTAAATTAGAATTTAAGAAACAATAAAAGTAAGATTAATTATTAAGATAACCATAAGTTAGTACAATAGTAAAATAGTTTTTTTTTTACATATACTTACTGTCTACCTTCAATTAATCGATATAAAGGGTAAAGGAAAACTGCTAAATTGTTTCATGGGTCATATCTATGGTTTACAAAAACATAAAAAACAAAGAAAAAAATGGACCCTTAAGTCGCCGTAAGACCTAGGGGGCGCACTGGGTATGTGGGACTTGACGATCTGCTGATGTTGGGAGCAGATCGCGGGCCCAATGAATTTTAGGGCCCTACCGCGCTAAGCGACTCCCCTGCACTCTTACACCCGACGTTCGATCTCCGTCCGGGGTCAAAACCCGGTCAGAGTAGCCGTAAGACCCAGGTCAGCTATGTGTAAGGCAATATTTACAGTACAGTACAAAAGGCACGCATATCTACTGCGAAACGATTTCCAATTTGGTCATCGGTAATTCACTACCGCTCTTTCAATGGACGGTTTGTAATTAATTTTTTTAACGGTTTTTATTCTACTTACGCGATATAATTATCTTAAAAAACAACTAACCAAGGCACGCGAGCATGCAACATTACGAATAGTGAAAAACGCCCATAACGCTACGATCATGCGGCGCGAGATCGTAGGTTATCGTCGCCCATACCATAGTTAATTCCCGACGGTACAGCTAAACTTAATTTACAAAACGACTCAGCCAAGTGAGCCTTCGAAAGAACTTCATCCTAGGTATTAGTAGTTAAGTAATTTTATAAGGATCATACCAATCATACCAATGTTACCCTTTTTATGTAAATTACGTGTACAACTACTTTGCATTTCTTGCTACATTTTGTAAGATTTTATTTATTTCAAAGAACGTTACCCTTTTCGAAAGGCGAATGAGTGCTACGCTTCTAGATATCTGGCAGCAACTTCATCTACATATAATACATAATTCTCATCTATTTTTACTTTAATAGTATTATTTATATTATTGTCTACTTGAAAACCAAACTCAATTAACGATACACTTATTATTTGTCTTTTTGATTACTTTTCAATAATGAATGAAACTATTACATACCTTGAAAATTATTGAAATCAATAAGATGTTAACGGTAGACCATATCCCCATTTCGATTTTAGGGAACATTACGAGTGTAGTTAAATAAATAAAAAATGTAGTAAATGAATTATACTCAAGATATACATTTGTTTTCTACCAAATCAAACTCGAATCAAATCAATTATATTTTCGAATTAACAAACACATTTTCTTATTAAAACCAAAAATATGTCGCTGGAAAATTTTGAAGATTTTCTTTACTTCATTTTTTTGGATATTTAATAAATATAATATTATATATTGATAACAATACGCTCCTTTAAGTTTAAGTCGTAACGCGATTATGTTTCTATCACCCAAAGTGTCCAAACCAAAATCCCACTACATTAGTTAGTCCACGGTCAAGTTTGTTGGTTTTTTTAATCGTCAAATTAATGATAATTATAAGCGAAACTTTTCTATACCTTCGGTTCCCATCGTAACAATTTTAAATCTTATCAACTAGCTTTCAACACAAATAGTTTCATTATAAGAGAAACAATAGTGTTTCGAATAACAAATATAGAGGACAAAAATTCGAGCAAAGTAATCGATGAAATTTATCAACATAATATACCAGATACAATATCTTCAATGTACAAACACTTCTGTTTCATTATATGTTATAAATAAATTACACATACAAATTTAAAAAAAAAAAAACTACATTATAATGTTTATATTTCAGCGTTTCTTAAAAGAAAAGCATTATTACCAATTAGTTACTTACATATTTTTTTTTCTACTATGGTTACCAATTCATATTTACATTCCTGGCAGTGACCCGCTGGTCTCAATTTATTTCTTTCAAATTTATATATACAATATACTAAATTTACACACAAGCAATAAACTAGAATAATTTATTGAAACAATTTAAATGGCATTAGGTGCGTAAAGCTCAGTTACAAACGTCATTAAAAACAATATAATTTAATTATTGAACAGCAAATAAATATAAATTAAAATTAATTCCAATTCGATAAGTGTGATGTTAAAAAATCACTTTATTATAATAAATAAATAAATTAAGGAATAAATAAAAAAATCATTAGCTTATACATATATCATAACTTTTACATTTACTTATGTAGGTATACAGACGATCATACTGCATGATCGCTGGTTAACATCGCCCATGCCAAACAATTTGAATGCCATGTTCAAGATCATGCATTTGGACTGTCAACATTAGAACCATATTTTATAGATAAAATATAACTAGGTCAGTCTAAATCTAAATTTCAACTACAGTAAAGCGAATACAAAAGAACCTTCCGTTTTAGTCTCAGCGCTGTACATTTTAGTGTTTTCAGTTTCCAACAAATTGAATTCTCCCATTCCTATTGCTCTAAATTGTACATATCGACGCTTGAAAGGCAAACGTGACTAAGCGACAATAACTGCTTTGTACATAAATGATAGGCAATAACCATATTCGATGCGCAAAAAAAATATATAGTTCTGGGTCTATTAAAATCATTTCAATCCTACAGCTAGATTCGTTAAAATAGATTTTTTTTCCAGGTATTTCAGCTATAAATTAGTCTATTGTACAGTTCACGCATTGTCGCTTAGTCACGTTTGCCTTTCAAGCGTCGATATCTTCTCTGAATAGTATAAAAGAAATACACGGCATGTTTCGGTCTGTCTCCTCGCTCACTTCTAAGCCTCGCAAATTTTGATACGATCTTGACCAACCGACAAATGAAGAAGACTTATGCATGTGATTTGTAAATACTTTAACAAAATGACGAAGTTACGTCCAAACAAGCCTGTCCACACGGCCGTAGATGCGAGCGGAAAGCTAGCCTACGTCTAAACTATGTATATATTTCCGTAAATGACATCGGGACTTTTTGGCGGGGACGCGAGGAGTGAAGTTGTGTGATTTGTTTTATTTTGTCTATTTAGTGTTTTTTCAGGTTTAAATGGGTTTATTAACTGTTTAATATCTGTGAAAGTGCACAAATGTGGGAAAATGAAACAAAGCCGCTGGACGTAACTTCCCGGGATCCTCCAAAAAGTCCTAATGAAAAAATCTCAGTGACCACAATTTTACTGAGATTACCTTTCATCCCATATCATCTTATCTCATTTCATTTAAATTCATCCCAGTCAATTAATGTCTCAAATTAATCATCTTCATTTCATTTCACTCCATATTATCATTTTTTCATAAAAATTAGAACTTAAATTAAAATAAGACATGACTTAAAGGTCTTAGTTACCAGGTCATAAAATCCCATAAAAAAGTAAACGACATCGCGGTCAATTTAAACAACAGCAATACCTTTACGCTTTCAAAATAACGTATTTATTACGTTTAGGTTAGGAAAAACGTTAAAACGACACAATACTGCCACATTAAGTACAATTGTAACTTTTAAACGCAACTTAATTATCTTATATAGTCCAAAAGAAAGTTCGAGAAGCAGTAATGACGCTTAGTGCACTGATCCCCTACTAAAGTTATCAGCGTTTTTTTTATTACTTAGATGAGTGGACGAGCTCACAGTCTACCTGGTGTTAACCCAACTGGAACACAAAGACATCTACTACGTAAATGCCGCCACCCACCTTGAGATATAAAAATCTAAGGTCTCAGTATAGTTACAACGGCTGCCCCACCCTTCGAACCAAAACGCATTACTGCTTCACGGCAGAAATAGGCGGGGTGGTGGTACCTACCCGTGCGGACTCACAAGAGGTCCTACCACCAGTAAGGTGTCATGTTGCGAGCTTTGTTATGCTGGTGCGGGATCGGGTGTGCACTGGAGATCAAGGTCGCGCGTCGTTTGAAGATTCAACGTCACTCGAGCTGCTGGAAACCGATTTCTTCGGTTTGTATTCGGTTATGACAACGGTAACGCCACTCACTGTTACCTAAGAAGAGAATATTTCAGTCAAACAACGCCGCTACTGTCCCGGCTATTACTTACTAACTTATGACGTCACTATACAGATAGTTTATTTCATTGTTGTGTAGACGGGGTGGCCGTATGGATGCTTCGCAGCAGGAACAGGTCATTAAAATATATATTATATTCTTTAAGCCTGGTTATTTTGGTAACGATATTAGGTCGAAGCAGTAAAGTTGTTTATATATATGGACCGTTTATTTTGAAAGTGGTGTAAGTCCATTTTCTTTTGTTTCGAGAAAATTAAAGGTTACTATATTTGTTGATTTAAAAATACAGGCAAATCATATTACTGAGGTCTGGCTATGCCGTCTACCTCTGTCATTTGGACTTACACCACTTTCATAATCGATGATTATGCAATTTCATTTACCGACCGATTTTAAGTTGTACAAAACATGGAATTTTTTTGAGAAATTAAACACGGACTAGTTATATATAAAAAATTTACATTAAATTAAGCATGAATTACGTGATAGCTCATTTTTCTCAAAAATGGACTTACACCACTTTCAAAATAAACGGTCCATATATATGTGTGTGTGTGTCAAATATATGGTAGTGTGTAATGTTTTTTTTATTGATTTAATGTATTATTAATGCACTTTTGCCTTGCAATTTAAATAAAATATTAGCATTCTGCACTCCTTCTCTGTATTCTCTATAAGCGTGGGAAATTTCATACATCCGTTCGCGCAATTTTCGTAAAAAGGAGTACAAAATTTTTGCTTCACGTATTAATATATAGTCTTTTCGCATTAAAAGTGTACAATTTCCAAAAATATTCGAAATTGAGTTAATATGCGGAATCATTTGGTATCACCAGTATTTTTCTCATAAATACTGTCAAATGAGCGTAGTTTAGTTTTAGTTTTCTTTTTTTTAGTTTACCTATATTTTGACTACTACATATTAACAAAATTAATACATAATTTTATCTTACTGTATAAGACAGATAATGTAACTGGTAAAGAATAAAAAAATAATGTTGCAAAGATGATTAATATTAAAAATATCACATGTTAAAGCTTTAAACGCTCTCTTGTAAAATTTGTAAATTATGAGATTATCTATATATTAATAGGTGAAGCCAAAACTTTGTATCCGTTTTTACGAAAATTGCGCGGTCGGAGGAGTATGAAATTTTCCACACTTATAGAGAATATAGAGAAGAAGTGCACAACGCTAATATATTTTTTAAATAAGGCATAAAAAATACAATAAAATAATAAAAGAAAACATTACACGCACTACATACCATGTATTTGACACACACACGCATGCATACTATTTTATTGTCAAACTTTTGTACTTGTCTGTGGTCAACTTGAGAATATATATTATTAAAGTGATTAAATATTGTTTGTCTTTATTAATATTTTTTTATAGAGTAGTCTTGGCGAAATTGGTGATTATAGAAGTATAAAATACAATCATAATAGTGTACAAGCTTATAATTTCAATTAATTATAGTCGAATTTCGACTACCGGGCGACCACTAGTAAGGTTTTAATGCGAGAAGACGATATAGATATCCTAAGCATTCGAATTTTGAACAAGTCACTTCGTACCTCTCTGGTTTGGGCCGAGCTGCGGTCCACGTTGTTGAGTCTCGGCGGGTGGCGTCGTTTCTTCTTGAACGAGTTCGCCGATCGAGGCCGCTTCTGGACCGAGCTGCCCGTGGGCGCCGTGCCGGACGCTTGTGCGGCCACCAGAGCGGGGTTGAGCCGAGGCTTGCGGGTCGATGTACCTTAGCGGAAACGTCACCTGCGTTAAATGATTTGTTTGCCGCTGAAGCGCTTGTGAGTTTTTTTTTAAAGAAAATTTCTGACCTGGTAACCAAGACCTTTAGGTCAAGTCTTATTTTAATTTTAATGATTTTTTTTATTTCTTAGATGGGTCGACGAGCTCACAGCCCACCTAATGTTAAGTGGTTACTGGAACCTATAGACATCTACAACATACATGCGCCACCCACCTTGAGATATAAAAATCTAAGGTCTCAGTATAGTTACAACGGCTGCTCCGCCCTTCAAACCGAAAAGCATGACTGCTTCACGGCAGAAATAGGCAGGGTGGTGGTACCTAGCCGTGCGGGCTCACTAGATGTCCTACCACCAGTAAACTTTTTTATATGAAAAATGATAGAAATGAAATGAAATATAATCTCAGTAAAATTGTGGTTATTTACGACAATGCCCCTGTCATTGTTGACGTCCATGGGCGACGTTAATCAGTCACCTTCAGTTGGGCCGTATACTCGTCTGCTTACAAGGGCAATAAAATAAAGCTAGAGGTTATTCGTTGAGATTTGAATATTTTTCGAACTACCCTCTATTTGTCTATAATAAAATAAAACGACTCGACTTTTACTTTTTTTCCATTCACACAGAAAACAAACTACCAGGCCTCCAGATACTGTTTGTTCCCTAGTAAACACGTGATTAAACCTCAAAAGTTATTTTAATTATGCCTGCCGCGACAACCACAGACAATACAAAAACAATGGCCGATACGATTCTGAATCAATAGTTTTCAAACAAACTAATTTAAAACGTCTAACAAACATCCTTTAGTAGGTAACCGTTGAAATTCAACTACAGAACATAAGGTCGTAAATACGATTTTAGAAACTGCGAGGAGCTTAGTACACGACTCCCGGAGGCACAGCGGAATTAATGAATGTACCCTTCGATAAGGGCTTTTGAAAATCTCAAACTGCACTATTAGGGTTGCCACCTTCTTTTTTTGCAGATAAAGTACATCGGCTATTATGGGTAGGAAAAAATTACATGGTATCAAAATAAAGTACAGTTTATTTATTGTTATTATGTTTAAATACATATCGATGCTTGAAAGGCAAACGTGACTAAGCGACAATAAGTGCTTTATACATAAATGATAGGCTATAACCATATTCGATGCGCAAAAAAAATATATTTCTAGGTGTATTAAAATTATTTCAATCCTACAGCTAGATTCCTTAAAATAGAATTTTTCAGGTATTTCAACTTTAAATTAGTCTAATGTAAAGTCCACGCATTGTCGCTTAGTCACGTTTGCCTTTCAAGCGTCGAATTGCTATTATTACAATTGATAAAATTAAACACGAAATTGTGACAATTAGTGACAGTGACATTGGTGACATTCGAGGTTAAGTTGCGTTCCGATTTAATTGTTAAAAAAACGAGTGCTTAGGTGCTGTGGCGTTGGTGAGCGGCGACATCGATTGAGCGATCGATGTATTTCGCCTAACGAAAAAATACATATGACTAAAACTTTTCAAATCAAGTCTTTCCGTGTACTTTTTCAAATAAAGTATAGAGTACAATAACCTGCAAAAACGTACAATACTTTATTATAAAGTACGCGTGGCAACCCTATGTACTATGTATAGAAAACGTAGGTTTCTCTTCGATTTTCGCGAGTCACAGATATAATTTAGAGCTACTTTTACCGTTCGATCTCGCGTTTATTATTTTCAACGTTTCTAATACTTTTTACAGTTACCGTGGTAATCACGTACGAGCCAACAAGAGTCGTCGAGAGTCAGTAGGACTATGTTTACGATTAGGAATTTCAAAACTTCAAAAAATTTAATTGAAAAAAAAATTTATTTTTTTATTGCTTGGATGGATGGACGAGCTCACAGCCCACCTGGTGTTAAGTGGTTTCCGGAGCTCATAGACATATACAATGTAAATACGCCACCCACCTTGAGATGTGAGTTCTAAGGTATAATACAATGGCTGCCCCACTATACAAACCGAAACGCATTACTGCTTCACGGCTGAAATAGGCAGGGTGGTGGAACCTACCCGTGCGGACTCACAAGAGGTCCTAACTACCAGTAAATAGCTCATTATTCAAACCTCACTTGTCTATTACCATAAAAACTGTGAAATATTTGGGCCCATTGCAAAAATTACCTTCGTACCAAAACAAACTAATTCCTTAACACCGGATTAAAAAAAACAAATTTCCAAACGGTCTCTCATTTTTCGATTAATTTTCTTCAGTTTGTTTCAAGACCACTATAACATGTCTTTCTTCAAACAAGTGTTTGAAAAGTGTCCTCAGAAGTACAAATGACTTTAATTGCACATTTGACATTACAGAATTCTGTGAGCAACACAGTAACCATTCACCATCAGTTGTCCTAAAAGAATGTGCCAATAATGATAATGGATAGAAAGAATAAATTAATCTTATATATACAGTGTTATAAGTTTATAAACCAACATGGTGGAAATTCCCATATTATTGACAATATTTATCGATAGTGACACACATTGATAGGGCAATCCTTGTAGTAAACATACGCAGAAAGTATATCTTATACATACAAGAAACATGTATATTATGATAAAAATAAACAAGTGGCAGCAATGAGCAGCCTTATCACTTCTATATAATAAGAGATAATTTATACAGGTTAGTAAATATATGTTTCCAAAATAGAACATCAGTTGTTTTCCAGAGAGCATATCGACGCTTGAAAGGCAAACATGACTAAGTGACAATGTGTGAACTGTACAGTAGACTAATTTAAAGTTGGAATACCTGAAAACAAAATTTATTTTAACGAATCTAGCTGTAGTAGAATCTAGCTAGTAGCTGTAGGATTGAAATAGGTTTTAATAGACCTAGAAATATATATTTTTTGCGCATCAAATATGGTTATTGCCTATCATTTATGTACAAAGCAGTTATTGTCGCTTGGTCACATTTGCATTTCAAGCATCAATATGTATGTACATTTTTTTTATCTTCTGGACTATGCAATAATATTGAGATCACAACATGAATGTCCTCGCTCATTAAGTACTTAATTGAATAACAGTAAGCTCTTCATACCATAACAAATGAGTGCTTTGCCAACAAAATTAGTATAATACTGACGTCTAACATCATACACTTAAAGTTATGAAAATGCCAAACATGACGGAATATTTTAATAGCAGTTATGTATATATTCTCTGGTGATTCAAGTCCATCTCATGGTATACTCAAGATTGCTTGTTGTAATTAGAAACAGCCATTATACTTTTCAGTTAGAATTTTTTTTGTTCAATGTTATGTACTAATTTGATATACAAAAACACAAACCTTTCTATTTTGTATGTACAGAAAACGAAAAAATCTAAGTCAGGTCATCTAGGTAATTCGTGTTTGATGCTTTGCCTATTTTGATACAAAAAGAACAATATAGGAAACCGTTTTGAAGGTCTATTAGAGAAGCAGACGGTAGTAAAATGCACCGCTCTAGTGAAGTTTATGGTTACCAATTTAAAAAAATATATATATTCTACTACTGACTTCGGTGTAGAAATACTATGATTACTTCTTTCCGTACTTTTATTGCGGAACTTTAACTTGTAATCTATGTTTGATACGTCGAGATTTTATTCTTATATGAATCTCATACTGACTCGCTCTTATTCGTAACGTCGCCCTTAGACTAATCAATAATTTTCGTCCTTGGTTTAGGTTTTAGGTTAGAATTTGAATACGTAATGTGAATGCCCTTTTATAAATGTCTACAGTTCTGAGCGTTTTCTTATATGAAAAGGCTACGTAGTTAATTAATAAAAAGCTCATTGAAACAATCATCGTGTGACGATACGTGGCTCTGTGTGCGTGAATTAGATCATTTAGGTCAAATTCGTGTGCAGAATTTACATATACGAAAAATATTGGCGTTCAGTTACAGTATTTACCTTTTCTAACGTCACACATGGAACATTTAAAAGCTTCCGCGTTATTCCTGTACGTGCAAACACTACAATCCCAGTAGTTTTCTTCCAGCACTTTTGATGGCCTTTTGGCTCTTCTAATGGCATTTTTCTTGTCCATTTTAATGCATACACGCAACTAAACGTAGCTAAGACACGTCTATCATGATATTTTTGATTGAAAACTATTATTTCTAATGCACAATTGTGAATTAATGCGTCGGGAAATCATTATTTTTGTTTTACTGTGCACAAAAATTGTACACTTTTACGCCATGACAGCCGTCAATGTTACGTCGGTTAAACAGCGTGAAGGCGCCACATTCTTCTGAGCTGTTTTAGCTACAAAATAGCAATACTAGATGGCGTTATTCATGAATTAAGATTTATAATGTTTTCTTAGAATTCAAACATAATTTTAAACAGTGAATAAAGTAAGTATATTGTTGGTTGGGCTTAATAGGAGACCGTATGCGGACATGGTCATGTTATTATTGGTCCCAAAATTCAAACGGAAGAGCATGACTGTTTCGCGACAAAGACAGACAGAATGGTGGTGAACTAGGTAGGTACCTAGTTGATAAATAATTTAATAACTCAAACGTTACCATATTCTTTCCGTGGACTGTTGAGGCGGGAGGTGGATCTTCTTAGTATAAGGTCTATGAACCTAATAGTCCTGTCTATTCATTCATTACTTTGAATTAGAAGAATTAGCTGATAGCACAAGTCTTTGACCAGCCACAAAAGTGCCGCTACATTAAGTAAAGGTCAAGAACTCCAAACGTTTTAAAATCCGAAATATCTATTCCAAATGACACACCAACACTAAACCACTGAACCCAAATATAAGTCAACAAAATTGTGTACATTTTTAAATAGGTACCGATACTTAAACGCAGAAACTCAATTATGTGTCTTATTTTGATTATTTTAAAGCTTAAAATCGTTTAAACAAAAACTATGAAGCACGGTAAGCCTTTGAGAAATATTTCTATGCCGTTTCTTAGAAAACGACCCCTTTTTTGTGACGGCGATAGAAATAAAATCTCTACCTGAGTTTTACGAAAGAAGTCCTTTCATTTTTTTCTACTTGAAGCGAAATACCTACGTGTGGTTCAAAAATCTTGGATCTTTTCACGAAAATTATCAATTTAAAACGAACGTTTAATTCTAACTTTGAATTTATTGTTTTTTTTTTCTAATACGAATCTAATTTCAGCCTGGCTTTCCTTGACCTATAAATATCCCTTTTTACGAAAATTGTGCGGACGGAGGCGTTGAAAATTTCCACACTTAAAGAGAATATAGAGAAGTGCACAATGCTAATATTTTTTTAAAATAATGCATAAAATATACATTAATTAAATCAATAAGGAAAACATTACACACACTACATACCATGTATTTGACGCACACACGCATGCATACTATTTATTATCAAGCTTTTGTTCTTGACGTCTGTTGTCAAATTGAGAATAGATTAAACATTGTTTGTCTTTGTTAATATTTTTTTTAGTGTAGTCTTGGCGAAATTTGTGATTATAGAAGGATAAAATACAATCTTAATAGTGTACAAACTTACAATTCCAATTAATTATAGTCGAATTTCGACTACTGCGGGACCTCTAATACAATTAAATAAATATAAAATAGTTTGTATCTCAGGAATGTGGGCAAGATAGGATCATAATAACAAATTACATTATTATATTTGCAACGTTTCGGTCTTTTATTAGACCTTCATCAGACATCATAATATGAATTCCAACAATCACTATCCTACACTGCACAATTGCCTTAGTCATCATAAATTAATACAAATCAACAAAGCTGATAAATTAGTTAATTATTATTTTTGATTTTAGAAATAAAGCAAACACGACACATAAAAATTGTTATTGCGTGACAACGGTTAGCCCAAAATAATAGCAAAAATAATAATGCAAATTTGTTATTATGATCCTGTCTTGTCCACATTCCTGAGATACAAAATATTTCTATACTAATATTATAAAGAGGAAAGATTTGTTTGTTTGTTTGTTTCGAATAGGCTCCGAAACTACTGGACCGATTTGAAAAATTCTTTTTCCATTAGAAGTCCACATTGTCCCTGATGAACATAGGCTACTTTTTTTTAATTTTATTTTTTTGGTTTCTTGTGTGTTTTAATGTTTCCGAAGCGAAGCGAGGGCGGGTCGCTAGTTATTAATAATTATGGACGATAATATTGATAATATTAAATAAATATATTCGCCGAAGGAGAACAGTCTTAACTAAGCGATTTCTAAGGTTTTCGCGGGCAAAATTAAAACTGTTTTTATGATTTAATCTCGGGTTTATTTTCGCAGTCGTCCGAGACCACGGGGCTGTAAAGTATGCGAAACGTCGGAAGTAATAAAATAAATATAACTAACGCGTGCTTGCACCGTAAAAGTAGTTTTAATTATAACTTAACTAAGGTCTAGATTGGAATGAGTAGCAACACGTTATAAGCTCACATACTCATGTAATCTGAACGCAAATTATAACAGGTGTTTTATTGCTAAATCTCTTTCATTAATTCAGAGAGAAAGAGAGAGAGAGAGTATGATTTTTATTGTATCTACATCAAAATAAATAAAAACGCAAAATTTTAAATACAAAAAAGTACAATGGGCTAAAAGCGATATCTTCCGAAAAACCATCAGGTTGTATTTTTTTTATTGCCCTTGTATGCAGAGGAGCACACGGCCCACCTGATGGTGAGTGGTTACTGTCGCCCATGGACTTCAGCAATACCAGGGGCAGAGCCAAGCCGCTGCCTACCGTTAAGTACTCTCCACAACCCTCGTTTACTTGTACTTTTTCTTCGTAGGTACATAACTTCATCGCATGCAATTTCGAAAAATAACCTTTAAGTACGGAGTTTTAAGGTTTAATGTGGTTGATAGGCACATAACACCTTCATTCAATGTCAAACCTCAAAAATCTTAAAAATGCTACTTAACCCCCTTCATCCTCATGACTTCAATTAAAGGTGCGTTATATTTGTTCTAAGCATCAACAGTTCGATTTTTTTAACTGAAATTCAATTAAGTTTACACCATTCAAATAGGTGAAGAAGTCTTTTTGTTATGATATTTTTGTCGAGTTTTAAACATTAAATGGCTCTCCTATGAATTTGAAAAAATGGCGCTTATGCCACCTTTCACCCCTCGATATGTTGACCCAAACAAAGTAAGAAGTTTCAAAGCTAGTTTACTGGTGGTGAGTCCGCACGGGTAGGTACCACCACTGTCCACCACCCCGCCTATTTCTGCCGTGAAGCAGTAATGCGTTTCGGTTTGAAGGGTGGGGCAGCCGTTGTAACTATACTGTGACTTTAAAACTTATATCTCAATCTGGGTGGCGCATTTGCGTTGTAGATGTCTATGGGCTCCAGTGACCACTTAACACCAGGTCGACTGTGAGCTCGTCCACCCATCTAAGCAATCAATTTTTTTTTATAGTTCTGGATTTTTATTACCACACGAAAACTTTATCTACATCTCTTCACTGGAAGCCTTCATACTCTGTAGTGCAAGTTGCTGTGTTCTAGCCCACTGAGTTTCTCGCCGGATCTTCTCAGTGGGTCGCGTTTCCGATCCGGTGGTAAATTCTGCGAAGCACGGCTCTTGCTAGGTATAGTGTTAGCAACGACGTCAGGTTTGAGCCCCGTAAGCTCACCTACCTACTAGTTAAGGCTGCGCTGAAATGGTTTCTCAATACCATCAGCTTTTATCTGTGTTCTCGCGGTCCGCACAAATATATATATACATATACAATATATACATACACATATACATATACATCTCGGACTGTTAAAAAAGAAAGAAAGAGGTGTCATATGGAGACCCGATTAGAACGGAGTTCCTTTTGCTATATCTTTTTTGTGTTTGTATATTTTGTATAGCTTTTATTGCTGAGATATAAACAATGATTTTACATACAGTAGCAAATTGTTTTAACTTAAATCTAATACATCGGGTTTCTCGGCTTAGTGTCCAGCGTATCCTGTGACACATAGGTCTCTTCCAGCTGCTTCCATTCTTCTCTATTGGTAGCTTTTCTCAACCAGATTGTCGCTCCAATCATCTTGATATCATCTGTCCATCTTCTAGCTTTCCTACCTCTTTTTCGTTTGCCATCGCGTGGCAGCCATTTTGTTATAATTTTAGTCAATTTCATTCTGCTTTCCCTTGTCATATGTCCTGCCCATCGCCATTTTAACTGTCTTATTTTCTTTCGTACGTCTTCCACCTTTGTTGTAGATCTAATGTCTGCTGCTCTTTTGCGGTTTTTTTGTATTTAGTAATAATTTAATTTAAAAAAGTTAAAGAGTCAGTCTAAAATAATTAAACGAATCACAAAATGTGAGCGATCTTTGCTCAGAATTCGTATCTCAAATGCATTCGTATAATTTTGTAATATATTATTCATTAACACGAACAATCTAGAATGTTTAAATTGTAAAATAAAATACAACATAATAAAATTCTCTAAAATGTCAAAAGTGCAACGACCCCAGAAATATTTCGTCGCGTCTACATAAATTGCGTGCAATGTTACTAAATAATATCTTAGCAAACGCATTAAAATATTAAAGTTTCTTATTATTTGAGTAAAAAACGTAGCTAGTCAACGACTGTATATAGTTTGTAGTAAGGCGAAGTAAGACCAGGCAGTGCTTAAGACCTGCGAACAAATCAAATCCAATTAATTACTTAACGTCAATCTGTGAGCTAAGTGACATTTTCTTCGGTTTGGCGCGAATCGTTCGCTAAAAACATAAATTTAAATTTAATTGTTTTTTTTTAAAATAACTGGGAACAAATCACGCACGGTCATCTGGCCCCAAATTCGGATTCCCTGTGTTATAGGTACGAGAAACTGATAAACATACTTATATACGTTTAATTGTACACATATATTCAAACACCTAAGCAAAGCAAATAAAATTGTTCATCACACAAACTTTGCCCCATGTAGGAATCGAACCCACGACCATCGGCCCAACAGTCAGGGGCGCTTAACTACTGCATTACCGAGTCAGTCAACCTATTTTGAATACGCTTTTATTAGCTACAAACGTATGTATGTTAGTATGTATGTAACGGAATCTTTGAACATGATTTTGACCCCCTTCGGACTAACTCGAAATTTTTGGCATACTTATTAAGGACCGGTGACAATTCAATATTAAAAATATAACTAGTCAGGTCATAAGTATTGTCACACAGTAAAAACTTTTCTTTTAGAATGCTGGCTCCAAAAAATTTTATTGAATTCGAATTTCAAATTGTTCATGAAAATATAAATGTATACTTTTAGAATTATACTCATTTTTTAATATGGAGTGGACGCTTAAAGAAGACCGTGTTGCAGTTATTGCGTTGCATCGTTGCGGTTACGCGCCAATGCAAATTTTTCAGTATGTTAAATATTTGAAATGGCGCGTATCAATTCAAATTTTTAACATACTGAAAAATTTGAATATAACCAAAAGATTCGTTTATCGTACCATCAAACGATACAATGAAGACTCTAGTGTAGATGACAGGTCAAGAAGTGGTCGCCCTCGGTCTGTTAGGACTCCAGCAGTGATAAAAGCTGTGAAGGCGCGAATTCAAAGAAATCCCAAACGTAAGCAGAAACTGTTGGCCCTTCAGATGGGGTTAAGCAGAACCACGGTGAAAAGGGTGTTAAATGAAGACTTAGGGCTTCGGGCATATCGAAGAAAAACAGGACATCGTTTGAATGCTCGTCTAATGGACCTGAGACTGAAGAGATGCCGCGCTTTGTTGAAGCGGTACGCGGGAAAAAAATATCGGGAAATTCTTTTTTCGGATGAAAAAATTTTTACCGTAGAAGAGAGCTACAACAAACAAAATGATAAGGTGTACGCACACAGTAGTGAAGAAGCGAGCAACCGTATTCCGCGTGTCCAACGAGGTCATTTTCCATCCTCGCTCATGGTATGGTTGGGAGTTTCTTATTGGGGCTTAACAGAGGTACATTTTTGTGAGAAAGGTGTAAAAACGAATGCAGTTGTGTATCAAAATACAGTCCTGACGAACCTTGTGGAACCTGTTTCTCATACCATGTTCAATAACAGGCACTGGGTATTCCAACAAGATTCGGCGCCAGCTCATAGAGCGAAGAGCACACAAGACTGGCTGGCGGCGCGTGAAATCGACTTCATCCGGCACGAAGACTGGCCCTCCTCCAGTCCAGATTTGAATCCGTTAGATTACAAGATATGGCAACACTTGGAGGAAAAGGCGTGCTCAAAGCCTCATCCCAATTTGGAGTCACTCAAGACATCCTTGATTAAGGCAGCCGCCGATATTGACATGGACCTCGTTCGTGCTGCGATAGACGACTGGCCGCGCAGATTGAAGGCCTGTATTCAAAATCACGGAGGTCATTTTGAATAAACTTTAGTGTCATAAAAATCTATGTTTTGTTAAGTTCATTTTGGTATATGAATGGTTACATAATGAATAAACTTGTTTCAATTATTTTACATTAAACATGTGACAGAATTTATGACCTGACTAGGTATATATTGAAAAAATTGAATTCAACTAAAAAATGAAAAATAAATAATAGTTTAAAAAAACTAAAAAAATACGCTTCTATAGAAAGCCCAACTAAAAACTAGAATATAATATTTAACAAATTTGAATTAGAAATAGTGTAAGAAAAAATGATTTTATTGCTAAATTTTATTGTTTAAATTTATATAGTGTTGGAAACGAGAATAAGAGTAATTATTAATGTTTAATAAATTACCTCAAATACTTTTTAAAGGTATTAAAAATAAAATAACGGAGAGGATGTTTTGGGTCTGTGGTGAAACTTATTAATAGAGTTATTTGATTAAATTATGGTTGTCAACAATATATTATATAAGGTAGACAGTCAGGGAATGCCTATGACATTAAGTCCGCCTTTACTGTCTAGTAGACTGTCTAGTATATAAAGCTATAATACAAATAAATAAATATAGCATCTAATTTTAGTACCTACTACTAACTTAAGCGCTTTGTTTAAAAATGAAACTGTCTCTAAGCTAAATCTCTAAGAACTCTAAGATTGTTTCTATTTATATTGTTGGAAGTGTGGTTATTGATGCTGACGTAAAACTTACCCTCATAAACGCCTTTAAATTGACGTAAGCGAAATGTGCAGCCGTCAGCTCACAAGGTTTCTGGGCCCTGCGAGAAAAATATAACGTACCGAGTGTAATGGCTTTTTTGGCGAAGTGCAAACCGGTCATCGTTCTCGTCGAACCCGTCGCTTGTGACGAAGGGCTCGATGAGTGAATTAACCCACAGAGACAGCCCAATGAGTTTCTCGCCGGATCTTCTCAGTGGGTCGCGTTTCCGATCCGGTGGTAGATTCTGCGAAGCACTGCTCTTGCTAGTTCCAGTGTTAGCAACACTCCCGGTTTGAGCCCCGTGAGCTCACTTACGCGTTAGGGTGAAGCTGAAATAGCCTCTCAAGGCTATCAGCATAGGTAAGATAAAAAAAAATTGCGCTTATACCACTATGTGGGTTGGGCGCAGAATCTCCTGTTTTTCCTTTCGACCTATCATACGTCATCTCTGCACTGAGATTCTTCTCTCGCACTCACTCTTTCACACAGTCCGTCCAAGTATCTTTAGGGTACCCTCACTTCACAATATTACAATATTACCTATATTTTCTATTACCGTTTCTTGCGATAGAATCGTATGAAACTTTTTGAACAAAAACCTGAATGGCACAAACTGCATTTACAAGCTGGCATGTTATATTCAAACAACAACTTTCGGTGCTTCGGTCTACTTAGCAATGTTGTTCCCTACACTTTTATCGGAGAAAGGTTTATCATGACGAGTCACTGACCTCGTGATGGTGAAAAGCAAATCTTTTCCCGTTGACGCTTTTTCGGTGTACCAACTGCAATTGTATACGGCATTACCGACTTCTTCGCTCTGAAATTAGACGATAATATAACGCCCAAATTTGGGTATCGATACATTCGTATCGTACAATCCCACCACTATTCTATCGTAGAAAATACCGAAACAAACAGTTTAAGTGCTCGCAGTGGAAGGGGGGAGGTCAAGAGAACCAACTATCAAGTGCTGGCTAGATCTCCACGTGACGTGACCGGCACCAGAAATTAATGACGTCACATCACCAGACAAAGGATAAGCCAAATAATTAAAACTATTTTTATGGTTTTATCTCATCGCGTCTCGACTACTGTCGCCTTGACTACCAAAACTGTCGGTAAAGTATTCGAAAAGTCTTAAATAATAAACCCGAGATTAAACCGTAAAATATTTTTTTAGTTTAGAGTCGCAAAACTCTAATAAAATATTGTAGATACAAGTCATAACATTGCCTCTTATAGTAATGAATTTGAAAACAATAAATTATAGAAACTTACTGCGCTCATCAGCATATCCCCGAAGAAACAGAGGAAATATACTTGCATTAAACTCATGACCAGAAATATAAGATATGTCATTACAATAGTTACGTCGTTCACTACCTGTAACGTGAGTAATTAATTGGACTTTATGAATTAGATCCCTTTGCTCAAATTTTTTTGGTGACAATTAAAGAAAAATTTAGTGCAAGATGGGATTAAGCGAGGAACTTTTGGCGGGAACACTAGAAGCGAAGTTGTGTCAATTGTTTTAGTTCCAATGTTGCTTAAGCTTTAAATGTGTGATAACAGTGGGTTTTTAGCCGTTTAGCATCTGTAAAAGTTCAAGTGTGGAAAAATAAAATTCTCCGATTTTTCCAAAAAGTCCACCGAAGTCTCAGTAAATAACCAAAATTTTACTGAGTCTTTATTCCATTCTATCTCATCTCATTTCATTCTAATAAGTTAATCACAATTTATGATAGCCTCAAATATATAAATTTCATCTCATCACTACATAGTATAAAACAAAGTCGCTTTCTCTGTCCCTATATCCCTATGTATGCTTAAATCTTTAAAACTACGCAACGGATTTTGGTGCGGGTTTTTTTAATAGTTAGAGTGATTGAAGAGGAAGGTTTATATGTATAATAACATTCATTAAATAGTGGAGAAATCAATAATAAATTACAGTTTCCGAAGCGAAGCGAAGGCGGGTCGCTAATTATATAATATAATACAATATATTTAATAATTGAAGATTCTTATAAACTCGACACTGGTAACAAAGGCATTGCAAGAAGCCAATTGTTGTACTTAAAAAAAAAGAATGGGGCAAAATAATACGTAACAAATAATAGGTCACCAATAAATTCAAACAAAGACATAATTAAAAAGCAGTGATTAACTACTATCATCGTCTATTGTCTATCGTCCACAAAACTAAGATATAAAAAATATATATATTAAAAAAACCAATTACCGTAACATTGAATGCGGACAGACAAATAACTAGAGAACTCAAAACAAAGTTTGATAATGTGGACTTTGAGTAAATCATTTCTAGAATACTCGACGATCTGCAAAAGGAAATGTCACTATTAATTTTCGCCTGTCTGTGAATTATAGAAAAAAGCCCTCACTTTTTTTTATTGCATAAATCGGTGGACGAGCTCACAGCCCAACTGGTGTTAAGTGAACACTGGAGCCCATAGATATCTACAACGTAAATGCGCCACTCACCTTAAGATATAAGTTCTAAAGGTCTCAGTATAGTTACAACGGCTAACCCACCCTTCAAACCGAAATGCATTACTGCTTCACGGCAGAAATAGGCGGGGTGGCGGTACCTACCCGTGCGGACTCACAAGAGGTCCTACCTAACGCTGGTAAATAAGATCCCCGAAATGACAAATGCCAGTCACCTTCGCGTCAACACTAGGAGCAGGGGGTATCGGGTCCCTGGTAGGCTGGTCTTTAAACCTAACCCATACAACAGCCCGCTGAGTTCTCACCGAATCTTTCCAGCGGGTCGCAATTCCGATCCAGTAGTAGATGCAATTGAGAAAGCAGCGGCGCTTGAGTTGTTAGGTCTCCTTCGTCCACATGACCTGCCAAATCTGAGAAGGCCTTCGGGCCACCAGTAATCTTTCCATCCCAAAAAGCCGGTTTATGTTTGCTGCACGAAAATTTAGATGCCACCATTTTGCTAATAGCGATCCCCTATCGTAAGATTTCTGGAACACAACTCACTACTTCATCGGTAACTTAATTAATTAGTATTATATTTTATCGACTTCGAAACAATAGCACGACGTTCATTAAAGATAACATTTCTGTGGGCTTGAATATTAATTTTAAGAAAGACTTAGAGCTATAGCTTGCACTTACTCTATTAAACCTTGATGTCTTTTCACTAAATTCGTGAACGTCTCCCTAAAATCTTCATCATCTCTTAAACCATCGCTTTCTCTTCTCGAAGAGGTTAATCTCTCAAAATCGTATTGTAAAAGGCGAAATTGTATGCGGATGTACGTGCAACACGTGAAGAAGAGGCAGTCTGCGGCTCCGATGAACAAGAGAACTATGCATTCTGAAAGAAATGAGAATAGGGATTACTGATAAAAATAATTTTATTGATACTTTTAGTTTTGCCTTATTTTGTGATACCTGTTGTATTCAGCACAATTAAAAGTAACCCATGCACTAATACTTAACTAAATCCTAACACAATTGCACATGCCGACTGCATGCAGCTGTGATGGAAATATTTCGTTTATTTTAAAAATTATGGTTAGGTTGCCGACATCCCTTCTAAAACAGCCAGCAGTGGCAGTAAAAATGCCAATAGATACTAGCTGAATAGAATATTTATTTTGACAAAATACCCTCAGCAAGAAATATTAGGTGTTAATGCATACTCCAGTTCATGACAGGTAGAAATGTTAAGACTCAGTCATCGCCCGAGCTGTTGACATTATCAATACATTTGTTACATAGTACAGGGTATTCCATGCCTTTTAAAAGATAATGCCATGATAGACTTGCACTTAAATAGGAAGGAGGAACCTAATAAATAGTATTTTTTTTATTGCTTAGATGGGTGGACGAGTTCACAGCTCACCTGGTGTTAAGTGGTCACTGGAGCCCATAGACATCTAGAACGTAAATGCGCCACCCACCTTGAGATATAAGTTCTAAGGTCTCAGTATAGTTACAACGGCTACCCCACCCTTCAAACCGAAACGCATTACTGCTTCACGGCAGAAATAGGCGGGGGGTGGTACCCACCCGCGCGGACTCACAAGAGGTCCTACTACCAGTAGACCACTACCACCACTAGTAGTATTTTCCAGGATTCCCCAATGAAACTAACTATTTGGTCTAATTCCATAAGAAAGTTAGAAAAATATATGAAAGCGCTCTATAATTTAAGAGAAATAGATTTAACAAAAATAGCTAGTTCTCATTTACCTGCCCAAATCTGTAGGATATACGCCATGACCCAATACTCAAATTTATATGGCACGAAAACAAAAATATCCAAATAAGGTAGCAACCTAACAAACTTATTCGTCGTCCAATATTTGATGGCAATAATGATCAATGGAGTCATATCGAAGACAAGAATCATTGAGCAGTTCAATACGTACAAAACATTAATGACCATATTTAGTAACTGTTTCTCTGTTGCCACGATTTCGGTCCTTTGCACGCTCTTCGTTCTTTCAAAATCGGTACGTTCCAGCTCTATGAGGTTCTCCAGTAGGCTCTTGACTGCGTTTTCGTTGATATAATGGAAGAATGACTTAGAAACTGCTAAAACGGTCATTGCCACACACGGAGCTATGCAGGTCATTTCAATAAAGTTTTGACCGTTTGAAATNAACTGTTTCTCTGTTGCCACGATTTCGGTCCTTTGCACGCTCTTCGTTCTTTCAAAATCGGTACGTTCCAGCTCTATGAGGTTCTCCAGTAGGCTCTTGACTGCGTTTTCGTTGATATAATGGAAGAATGACTTAGAAACTGCTAAAACGGTCATTGCCACACACGGAGCTATGCAGGTCATTTCAATAAAGTTTTGACCGTTTGAAATTCCAATGCAAATGAATGTTACAGCGGCCAACGTCCACGCGTGGTTGAGAATGTACACCCATCTATGATTTAAAAACTCGTAAGTGTTAGTAACAGTGTTTTCTAGATTCATTCCCGAGTATTTGAACAAAACTTTGATTTTGTTTAGGGATGTCTCGAAGTGGCTATGCTCATCCATTGCGTTTTGGTCGAACGTAAAATGACTAACGCTTGCTGTGTGATGTGTATGTGTGTGATTGGTTTAAATGACGCGTGCAATGAATGGCAAACGCTTTATGAATAACAATGTAAGCTAAATTCAAACATAATTATGTGGCTACTAATGTTTAGAGCGGCCAATATTTTCTTGATATTAAAAATTTAATATGACACAACAGAAAAAGCGATTTTGGGCCAGACGTGTTTCTTGTGCTAGAGTTAACAGGTTTGAAGTAGTCTTTTTTATTAATAAACTAGCTTTTGCCCACGACTTCGTCCGCGTGGCATAGTTCACGAATAATGCTTTATTTTGGAACAAATTTGGTTAGCATAAAAAACATTATAGTGAGCCAACCTTAACATATAGACATATGCTGTCGCAGACTTTTTTTTAGATCTTTTAAAGAGGAACAATTCTGTCATACATTATTTTAGCGAAACTTTAATCGTTTCTGCAACGCACGCAGCGGAAGCTCTCAAAAGGGAAAAAAAACGATTTTGAAACACTTTTTATTGGTGCTGCGCTTGTATTGGTCTTAGCGTGATATTATATAGCCTTCCTCAATAAATGGGCTATCTAACGCTGAAATAATTTTTCAAATCGGACCAGTATTTCCTGAGATTAGCGCGTTCAAACAAACAAACTCTTCAGCTTTATAATATTAGTATAGATTATTGCCAGACTTCCGCTTTCCTACGTGTTGGGGACGGTAGGCGGGGCATGTTAGAGCTGGAGCGATTAAATTTACTTATTGCTAAAAGAACCGACGACAGAACTCTACTATCCGTGGCACGCTCAGAATAGGTTACTAGGCAACTAGAAAATAGCGTGGGCTGAGGAGTGCGATCAACCATTAACCGGTTGATCGCACTCCGGCATGCCTTAGCGCTGAAGAAACACCGTGGAGGGGAAGTTCATTCCGAAGCCAAACGGTGAGTAGTAAATAAGATTTATAGAAACGCAATAGTTGGACGGGCGCAGTGGTTTTATGGATGGATGAACTCTTCTTGACCTGTTTCTTTTGGATGGTAAGCTTGTTTGATGAGACATTCTGAATAATAGATTATCTATATTACTTGTCAAGCCATGGGTTATATTACATCGAGAAGAGCTAATACCATTAATGTTTCTTTTTTATTGCTTAGATGGGTGGACGAGCTCACAGCCCGCCTGGTGTTAAGTGGTTACTGGAGCCCATAGACATCTACAACGTAAATGCGCCACCCACCTTGAGATAAAGTTCTAAGTTCTCAAGTATTGTTACAACGGCTGCCCCGCCCTCCGAACGGAAACGCATTACTGCTTAACTGCAGAAATAGGCGGGGTGGTGGTACCTACCCGTGCGGACTCACAAGAGGTCCTACCACCAGTAAAAATTTATGTATTAATTTATATATATTTATTAATTAACGTGCTCATGTTTGCAGAAGTCTTATCGGGCGGTGAGAATTGAGGTTACAGCCAAGAAATACCGAAGCGCGCTTTTTCCTTGCCGCTTCCAAACATTGTTAGGGCTGTACTCGGTAAACTTACCGTTCCAGCAATCGCTATTATAGTAATTACGGTTTCTTCGTCAAATAAATAACTCGGTATTCAATAATCATAACAAAAACACACACCTCGTGCCCGTGATTATGTAATTAGTTATAATTTTCACTAATCGTTCGGTGTTTGTTTGTATTTTGTAGTTTGGGAAACGGAACATTCGAAATTAATGAGATTTTTTAGCGAAGACGATTTTTTTTTTTTTTTTTTTTTTTTTCGGTTACGCTATGAGTACAGTGTTATGTCTAATTTTGACACGAAACAGTCGTGCGTTCTGGTCAAAAGCTCTTGAGATCTATGTCGCAATTCGCGACGTGTTTTTTTTATTGCTTAGATGGGTGGACGAGCTAACATCCCACCTGGTGTTAAGTGGTTACTGGAGCCCATAGGCATCTACAAAATAAACGCACCAATCACCTTGAGATATAAGTTCTAAGGTCTAAAATGTATCGAATTTCTTCATAAGATTCACTCATCTTGACAATACGAAAAATAAATAAAAATCACACATTTTCCGAATTTGAATTTGGAATTATCTTCTTTAAAATTTAAACTTTTAATGATACCCGAACCCGCCAGATGCAAATAGTGTAGCCAAAGAGATTTTATTACATGTTCATACATACTATAATGCGAAGACTTTTCCCCCAACCTATTCAGTTCTAAAGTCTCAACTATAGTTACAACGGCTGCCCCGCCCTTCAAACCGAAACGCATTACTGCTTCACGGCAGAAATAGGCGGGGCGGTGGTACCTACCCGTGCGGACTCACAAGACGTCCTACCACCAGTAAAAACGTGCTAGTTCCACGTACGAAAACTACAAATAGTCATGTTAACTATAAAATCAATGAACACAGAGTGAATCGAATTTAAAATGCAGCAAAACGATTTTATTAATCTTAAAGCTAAATTATACAACACACTTCCGTTATTTAGTTGCTTTTATTATTAAGTATGCGTGTGTTTGTCTGTATGTAATGGAATATTCGAAAGTCGTTATAAACGACTTCAAACATATCGATTAACTTCAAAATTTGCACACGCATTAAAGTCCAATGACAGATAATGCCATCCGGCTACGGAATGAGCTCCCCTCCACGGTGTACCATCCGGCTATCGAATGAGCTCCCCTCCACGGTGTTTCTCGAGCGCTATGACATGTCCTTCTTCAAACGGGGCTTGTGGAGAGTATTATGCGGTAGGCAGCGGCTTGGCTCTGCCCTGGCATTGCTGAAGTCCATGGGCGACGGTAATCACCACCATCAGGTAGGCCGTATGCTCGTCTGCCTACAGGGGCAATTAAAAAAAAGACAATACAATAACTTTATAACTTCGTTCGAATATTATGACCAGTATCAACAGGTTAAAAAAAAGATGATACAAATTATTAGTTCAGTTTGCTAATTGATTTTAAACTATATATTTTGTTCTAAAAGTACATTGACAAACTCAACTCTAACAACTATAGAGATTGAGTACTTTAATATCATTGAGATTACTATAATATAATTTTAAAATCCATTTATTCATGAGAGCTGTACAGGCTCTGGAGTAGAGCGAAGTAAGACCAGGCCGTGCTCAGAATCTGAAAAAAAAGTCAAATTTGAATTTATTCACCACACTCCATAAGCTGATTTAGATGTATTTCTTTAATCTTCATGACTTTTTGGGGGGAACGCGAGGAGTGAAGTTGTGTGATTAGTTTTATTTTTGTCTATTTAGTGTTTCGTCAGGTTTAAATGTGCAATAACGGTGGTTTATTAACTGTTTAATATCTGCGAAAGTCCACAAATGTGGGAAAATGAAACAAAGCCGCTGGACGTAGCTTCTCGGGATCCTCCAAAAAGTCCACTGAAAAAATCTCAGTAAATGACCACCATTTTACTGAGATTATATTTCATCCCCTACCTATTTGATGATACAATATTCTACATGTACTATACTAAGGAATATGCAGGAAATCGTATGGGCAGCTAGTGTAATTTTTTATAAAAGTTAATCTGAACTGTAACTATAATTGAGACCTTAGAACTTATATCTCAAGGTGGGTGGCGCATTTACGTTGTAGATGTCTATCGGCTCCAGTAACCACTTAACACCAGGTGAGCTGTGAGCTAGTCCACCCATCTAAGCAATAAAAAAAAATTTTAATCATAAAGTTTGTTATTTTTTCTTTATTTTTAATTTGGGTACTACCTAAGAAATATTTTTTTATTTTTTTTTTGCGGCCCCATTTGCTCTATTCTGGGGTATTTCAAGATTATCCACTCTTTCTGGGACGCCCTGTATATACGTAGCAATATCACGAATACAGACAGATCATTAGTAATACATTTAAATTATATACAGATAATATGACAAACCTTCATAAAGGCTCTAAGGTTGACCTCAGCGAAACCATAAGCCGTGAGCCGACACGCCCGTTGTGACCTTAATGTATGTCATGTACCAAATCAAACAAAACAAAAATTGAAAAAAATGTCTGAGGAAAATCATGATTTAAACTGCTTTAACATTTGAATATTTTTATAGCGTTTTTTTTATTTTTTTTATTGCCTTTGTAGGCAGACGGGCATACGGCCCACCTGATGGTGAGTGGTTACCGTCGCCCATGGACTTCAGCAATGCCAGGGGCAGAACCAAGCCGCTGCCTACCGCTTAATACTTTCCACAAGCCTCGTTTGAAGAAGGACATGTCATAGCGCTCGGGAAACACCGTGGAGGGGACTCATTCCAAAGCCGGATGGTACGTGACAAAAAAGATCTCTGGAAACGCACTGTGGATGACCGCAGCGGCTCCAGGTAGTATGGATGAACTCTACTCCGGTGGCGGTATATTGCATTACTGGTGGTAAGGCGTCTTGTGAGTCCACACGGACAAGTACCACCAGTCTGTCTATATCTGCCGTGAAGCAGTAATGCGTTTCGGTTTGAAAGATGGGGCAGCCGTTGAACTGTATTACTGGGACTTAGAATTCGTGTCTCAAAGTAGGTGGAGGCATTTACGTTGTTGATGCCTACGGGCTCTGGTAACCACTTAAAACCGGGCGGGCCGTGATATCGTCCACTCAACTAATAAGTAAATCTACCAAGACACAGAAATCAGACCTTCGTATTTTCTACAAAAAAAACTGTGTATCGGTTTTTTTTAATATACCTTATCTGCACCATAAGTAGAACCTTCCCAACGTTTTTCTCAGTCAGATACCATTTTGAATTGTAAACTGCGTCACTGATATTAGTACTCTGTAAAATTTAAATGTGACACAACAAAACTCTTTATTGTCAATAGTACACCGCAACATACCTGCTATATCCATCAGATCCAATAACCTTTGCATTAGACGCCTTCAGCTCTAACACTAGGAGCAGGCTTAGGGGCTCCTGGCTGAGCCTTTGCTCGCTCACCTGTCCTGGTGAAACTGGAATGGCCTCGGGCCACCAGTAGGTAATCTCTCAAACATAA